TGCCCATACTTTTTTTTTTTTAAAAAAAAAAAAAAAAGAGAAAGAACAAGGAATATTGTAAGTCCTAGAAGCAACTGTCCAGAGACCACATGAAAGTCAGCTCGATTAGAATCTTTATGACCAAAAAAAAAGGCTTAACCACTGAATAAAATAAATAAGCAAAGCTATAGCAGAGACTGGAATTCTTTAGAAAGTTAAAGCTTTGAATTTCAGGATACCACAAGCTTACCCTGGTTGTCCATAAAGTAGGAAAGCTGAACACCTTCAAAGAACTAGAAAGGAAGGACTACTGACTTGACTGAATCAGAATTATTGGGGTTTATTTTGAGCTCTGTCCTTACTTCTTTTTTTGACCTTGGCCATGCCACTTCACTGCTAATCTTCTGTGCCACTTTGTGGAACACAAACATGGTGAGTTTTATAAAGCACTTTGCTAACTGGCATGAACATCCTCAGCAAAATCTTTCAGTGTAGTGTAAATAACAAATGTATTTTGCTGAGCCAGTCAAAAAAAGAGCAAATATGATTTTGCTAGTTCTCTGCAGCATTAGTTAACTGGCATTATTCTTACAGCAACGTTGGCATATCTAACATTGACAAATAGAAACAAACTGGACCAGCTTCATTATTTACAATACTCCACCAAAACCAACAGGACTGCCCTTTTGGATCCTAAGCTTTGTAAGCCAAGTACCTTCCTCTGGCCGGAAATGAGACCCAAATCACAGATAAGAGAAATGGAAACTTTAAGAGCTGCGCTAAATGCAGTGGTGTTGCTTTCAGTGGGCATTCCTCATTGCCCTTTTTCTGTAGCTCAGCATTCAGATTATTTAGGAGCCTTCACATTGAGAGAGGCCTACTACCAATTCTGTAACATACGCCCCGTGGAGCGCCAACATGCAGCTGAAGAGGGAAAGATTAGCAGCATCACCAGATGAAGAGAAGAAAAAGAAGCCAGAGAGGATTCAGTCAGATTAATAAGACTAATTTTCATATGGAATAAATTAAATCTCTTGAATCAAATGCCAAAAGAAAAAAAAAACAACAAATACTTCGCTCCTCACACAGCAGAACAAAATAGCTTTCCCGAGTTATCTTCTTTCTCTTGTGTAGTTATACAACTGACATGCAAGTTGGTAATGCCACCGGAACACTCACCTACCAGACTCATTGGCAACTGAACTGACACTCAGCAAAAGAATGTCAGGGTCACTAAAAATAAACTACAGGTGTGCAATCTGTTCTGTAAAGATCTTTATGCACTCATTTCCTGATAGCATCCCCAAAGCAGTGAAACAGGCAGCCCTCTGAACCTTGAGATTTACAATAAAAATCTGCCTCAAACAAACACGGTACTTAAAACGTACAGGGAACTTTTCCTACACTTTAAACATATTAGAATTAAATGCAAAGTTATGACAATGAAAAGGAGGAAAAAACATGAAGAAAAATGATGGAACAGAAAAAAACATCCACCTTTTTGGTTAAAAGAAGGAAAACAGACAACTGGTTTGGAGAGTGATCTTTGATGAGCAGAATCTCAATAAACAGACACCTCCTGGAATCTTCAAATAATCCCTTGAAGTTCAGTCCCTACAAGAAACAAAGTTACCTCTCAAAGCAATCAAAACCTTATGTTCTTGACTTATTTTACTGTTCAAAAATGTAACATGACCTTCTTAAAAGGTTCATCATGAAGTACTGTCTTTATGCATTCTGTATCTGCCTAAATATAGGCAGACATCTGAAAGCAAGGCATTCTCCGATTTTCTTCTATTCTAGTAGAAAATTTGGTTTTAAATAAGGCAACTCTGTTCTTTCCCACTCCCCCACCTTGTTCCCTAACTCCCCAACTAACTCATCCTGCAGCTTCAGATGGATAGTGCAGGTCCCAGCTGGTGCCTGAAGGCAAGATGAGATGTATGAGAATCACTATCTATTACTAAACATAGGCAGTACCAATCAGTAGATCAATACAGCTGATGCTCCCATGACAGCTCTACAGTACTTGCAGATGTTTAGTACATGAAAGAAATGTGCCTGCAAGAACCTTTTCCAAGTTCTTGCAAGCAGAAGCTGTTCCTTCTCCAGGGACACATTACTGCCTATCAGTTGGTGGGTGATAACTTGTGCAAAGAAAATGCTACAAGTTTGTAATTCTACAGGCACACAGCTAACAACATAATCTGTTCTCAATTATCCACAGTAATTGAGAAAACTAAGTACATCAGAAAAAAAAACACACAGAAGACCCAAGACACTTATAAATCAGGATGCAATAATATTCTTAGTCCACTAACCTTCACAAAACTTGTAAAAAGCTTTCTATAGAAAACAGAGCAGAGAAACTTCTAAGATGCTTATCACATATAATGGAAAAGGGATTTCAGCAATGCAGTGACAGAGTATTCAGGGAAGACATGACTTGGGCAGTCCAAAGATACTTAGCCTACAGATAATCATGAGTTAAGTCCACCTGCACATATAGGCAGTATACGCTTTTGGGGAAAACAAAACAAAAAGAGACCAACAGTTCCTCCTCACGCAAAAAAGCTCAGCCCTTGTCGTAATCCAATTACTTACTTTATAGATACACCTAGAAAAGAACATATATTTTCAAATGTTTAAAATAGTATACACTTTTAAAAATTTCTCTTCCACCACACAGCACAGAATGAAGAACTCTATATTGTCAAACTAAACAGCTGCTGTAATATGTCAAGCCCATACCTGAAGTTACTAATTCATCTTATTTCAAAACAGAGTTAGAAAACAATGAATTTTCCTTAAAATATCTGGAGTCCTTCCCTCCAGTACCAGCTCCTACATTTATTTAGTTTCCCCGAATGTAATACTGTTTTCTGCAGACTTAGCTGGGCTAGAATTTTCCTATAGCCATCATTTCTGTACTAGATCTGATGGTATCTTTGGTCAAGACCACAATTCTCTACCTCTCCCCTCCAAACACAGGAATTCTTTCAATCCTTCCACAGACATTCCCATTCATTCTTCCTCTTCCTTTACTATTGCTTCCTCCCAAATGAGGAAAATTCTAGTAATATATGTAGCAAAACCCTTAACTTCTCACTGACAATTTACAGTGAAGCACAATTATGTACTGCCGATTAGTACTGTGACAAGAGACATTTACTCTTGCTACTGATAGTACCAGATGCTTTCTAGCATCCATATCTGTGTTTGGGTTTTGACACTGTACGCTGGTGTCCCTCCAGTGGGGCTGGTTTTCTGGTTGGTAAGTTTCCCTTTTACAACTAGCCAGCTGTAGTCTGAATAAAACAGAGAAACACTGGGAACTAATAGCTTTTTACTTTAGAAATAGCTTTCATTCTAAACCTCAAAAATGTTCAGATAGCATTAAGTCTTAATAGCCTATTAGCAAAATAAGCAAGTACATATTTTCTTAGATAATGAGGAAAGGCCCAACACTTAAAGGCAACTATTTCTTATTCACAGATGCAGCCTGTCATCCATTAACCAAGCCAATCCTTCGTTTTACAGCATTTATCAATACACTCACGTATACCGCCACCTGTAAGGGAAGGGTTTAATATTAGGAAATCTTTATAGACGTTAAGATGGCCTTATCCTAACAAAAATGGAAACTTTAATAGTACAAGAATATTATTACAGAAACTAATTTGAAAGCTCTCACAGTTCCCATTTTCAAACTCACTAGCAAGAGTTAATAATACTTTTTTCTTTCTCCCTTCACAACAAACTATGTAAATTTACTGCCGCAAGATTTGAGGCTAAACAAACCATAGGAAGATTCTGTGAGGCCTGGAAATTTACAGCATTGTAATGATTAATGCTAGCTCTAGTGGATCTATTTAAGATATTAAAATTCCCATCTGTCAGACCTCTTTGCTAGATGTTACTGCTCTCAATGCAAAAGAAAACATGTGCCTGCATCCCAGCCACCCAGTTCATACTGCTTTTTAACTCAAGCCATAAATGAAAATGGGTTCATAGCAACACACCTATCTAAACCACTGCAGCCAACATCCAGGTACGTGTCTGCTCTTGCTATGTAGACATAGACAACCATAGAGAAAGGCTAAACAGCTGCATGCAGGCATCAAGAAAGGAGAGGATGATGTTTAAACTACTGCAGCAGTTTGCTACCACACTCATAAATAATGTTCTATGCGTGCGTTTGACTTCAAGGCAATTTTAAGTTTGGGAAAACAGACACACTACAAAAACTATACCCAAGTGGCAGACAACAATGCTATTAGTATTACAGAGTAGCTATTCACCATGATTTCCAGAGTCGTAACTACCAAAGTTCAGCCCTCATGCTCTAATAGGTCAGCTGCATCCCACGTAAAGCAGCACAAACATCAGCTGAAGTCCTGGGCGTACAAGGGCACCCACTGGGACATTTCATTTACCTGAATTAATGTTTCTGTCAACACCAGCTCTATGAGGGATATAGAGAAGATCTGATTCAGCAGGGATGAGTTAAATCTCCCATAAGGAAAATAGGCTTGCATCTCATCTATACAGCAAAATCTAGCAAGTAAAACGAAAGTTTGGGAGCATTTATCCTGCCAACAAGTGGACTTAAAGTTTGGGAGCGTTTATCTTTCCAAAGGAGCATTTATCCTGCCAACAAGTGGACAGAGATTACACATTTTAAGTTCAACATGACTTTCCAACATACAGGAGTCTGCTGAAACCCCAATAAAACTATACATACATGAACTACTACAGAAGCACGCTCCATTTACAGTTGTAAATCCAATTACAGTTGCATCCAATCATTAAGTTGCTTCTACAAAGTGAAAGCATTTACATGTTTCCTGTGGTCCATAGCACCATATTGTAGAAAAATAAACCCCTCTGGGATTGGATTAGAGGATACAGTGGTTCACAAAAAAGGATTGCTAAGTTAACAATACTCCCCTCTTTTCTTTGTACGATTTCTTTCCAAAACCATATCCCACCACCTTGGCTGTTCACTGTGTAGCACTTACTGTTGCTGGACTTCAGGTCACGGTGAATTATGGGAACAATTGCTTCCTCGTGCAGGTAGTTCATTCCCCTCGCGATCTGGACTGCCCAGTTCACTAGTATGTCAGGAGGTATCCTTTTACCAGACAACACTCTATTTAACGATCCTCCACGGGCAAACTCCATGATCAAGCAAAGATTAGGTTCCTTCAAACACACGCCCCTGAGGGCAATGATGTTGGGATGCTTTAACATTGCAAAGAGCTTGGCCTCTTGGCGGACATTCTCAATGGTCTGGCTGATGTCCTCATCAGGGTCATAGCGAGCTGCCTTGACAGCAACCTCATCTCCTATCCATACAGCTCGATACACTTTTCCGAAGCCCCCTATGCCAATGATTTCCTCCAGAACAAGCTCTGAGAAGTCAATCTCCAGGACTA